CTTCAAATTTGAACAATTTGAACACCTAATAAATAAGGCTCCAGCCCTATGAAACGTCGCCGTTTTATTACTAGTTTAACGATCCCTGATTTATACATAATAACATAATATCTATTAGTGTATCTTCTAAATTCATCTTATCATGATTGGCTAATTTATGCAAATCTAACGCTAAGCATGATCATTGATGAGTTAACAATCAGATTTTTAAATATTTTAATTGAAGTAATTAATAGCCTCAAATATCTTAAATGTAACGGTCTTGGTAAAATATGAGTGTCGCCATGAGAAAACCGGGCTTCGGGCTTTCAAGTTTATTATTTATTGTTACGGATTGCATACATTCCTGACCACGCGTATAAATATTATTCCAAATCTTTTATCGTTATACATCTGTAGTGAGATTGATATTTTTGGAAAATTGTTACACAACTAGACATGCCCTAATTTTTTATCAGTGAATATCAACCCATTAAATCATTCCGAATTCGCCACTTAAGGTGTTGGAAGAAGCATTGTTCATATATAAAAAAAGTCGTTACTAAACAAGCATACTTAAAATAAGATCTTATTAGATCTTATTTTTAAAGTTAACTTTCTAGCACTCTTTTGAAACGATGTTTGAGCAACTGTTTACTTGTGCAATGTTGTTCTTAAAAGTACTCTAAAACGTATAAATTAGTTACCCGGCAATTGATTTACACTGGCCAATCAGACAAATTTCTGCCTATAAAATTTTAATATGCTATGTTTTTGTTCGGTTTGGTATAAAATTAAAATCTTTAGAACTATTTCGGCATAGAGAGACGATTATATAATATTCCTCTTTTGCGCCTTCGTCTAAAGCCAGTTTTTAAAATTGATTACTAATTGTTTTGTAAATTAATTGCATGATACTACGTACACCTTCTAATTTGGCCCGTTATATCTAATCAACAAAAAAAATTGCCTTTTAATACATAGCACCCTATATATAGTTGGCGGCATTTCAAACTTAATGTATATGTCGTATATAAACTTATCTACATAAATTTTTACATAATCCATCTAGATTTGCAAGGGTAGCGAATATCTTTTTTTTTTGTTTTTTTTTTTTTTTTTGAGAATAACATGAGAAAATCCGACAAAGTTGTACTTGACGAAAGATTAAAAGAAATCTCAAAATATAATGTGAAAATTCATAACTGGTCTAAAACTATATATAGTACTCCAGAATTATATTTCGAACCAGAATTTGAAGATGATATCGTAAAGGTAAATAAAAAAAAAACCATTATATTTATTTTATTTATTTTATTTATTGAAATATAAGAATAAATGCGCATTTAAGTCGAAAAATTTTTATGATTATTCTTCTAATAGATAATTGAACTCGCCAAGCGAAATAATAAGAATGTTAGAGCGATTGGTGTGGCCCATTCACCTTCGGATCTGCCATTTTCTGATGGGTATATAATTAATATGACTAAATTAAATAAAGTCATTGAGGTAAATATCTATCTTTTATAATTACTATCCTATCCTGTTTATATATCTTTACAAATTTTAAATTTACAAAGGTTGATCCGGAAGCAAAAACTATAACTGTAGAAGCTGGAATGAAACTATCTCAATTAAATGAAGAACTTATAAAACATGGATTGGCATTGAGTAATTTGTGTTCTATTTCTGATTTAACCATTGCTGGTATGATTTCTACTGCAACTCATGGAACTGGAATTAACTTTGGATGCTTTAGTACGCAGGTAGCATTATACATTAAGTACAATAATGTATGTGTAATCATCGAAAATACCTAATTAAATGATAATTTGTATTTTCTCGATTTTATAGATTAAATCTTTAACATTGCTTACTGGATCTTGTGATAAAATGTATTGTTCGGATGAAAGACCTATAGAAATTCCTTGCCAATATCTAATACAGTTCGTGATAATGTTAAACCTTGTGAATTGTAGTTGCACAAGCACGAGAACAAGTTCAGGATTTTCCTTCCCATGTATACATAATTGGGCGAATCGGCACTGCTTGTGAACTATTTGATGTAGGCAGTGTTGGGCCTGTATAATTATTCATTTTGAGCAGTATTAGTGTAAGCAAAGTGGGTGTCATTTTCCCTAGTTCATATATAATATCCACGACCATTCCCATTGCACTATTAACCAATCCGTAATAATCGGTCAATATAGAACCATCTTCTAGAAAAGTATGCAATATATCATGATTGAGTTCAATATTGGAATAAAAAGGATTATAATTTTATGATTTAGGGTGTTCTCAAACACCTCGCTCAATGGATCGGAGACAAAATTTTAATTAGTCGGAATTGAATGAATTAACCAAG